GCCGCCGGTCAAGGGGGACGAAGGGACAAGGGGTGGGGGGCGAGCCAGGCTCCCTGGCGCCGGATCCAGGATGGACGTGGCCGACCCGCAGCCGCCGGGCCTGTTCCCCGAGGGCGAGCTGATCGCCGTGGGCATGGACACCTTCATCCACCGCATCGACTCCACTGAGGTCATCTACCAGCCGCGCCGCAAGCGCGCCAAGCTCATCGGGAAGTACCTGATGGGCGACCTGCTGGGCGAGGGCTCCTATGGCAAGGTGAAGGAGGTGCTGGACTCCGAGACGCTGTGCCGCAGGGCCGTGAAGATCCTCAAGAAGAAGAAGCTACGGCGCATCCCCAACGGCGAGGCCAACGTGAAGAAGTGAGTGCGGGTCCTGCCTGGTGTCTCCCCGGCTCCGCTCCCTTTTCCGCTCCTCTTCATTTCTCCTTTTCTTTTAGTTTCCTATCGCCCTCCTTTTTTTTTTCTTCTCTCCTTTTCCTTCCTTCCTCCCCACTGCCTGGTTTTCTTCCTTTTCCTCCTTCTTTTCCTTCATTGTCTTCTCTCCTTCCCTCCTTTTTCTCGCTCTGAGTTCTTTCTGTCTTTCATGTCTGTCAGTTTTCTTTCCTAAGCTTCCTCATCTACGTCTTTTCCCCACTGTCCCTTCCCTTTCTCCCTTTCTACCTTCCTTCTGTCCATCTGCTCATCTCTTCTTTCCCCCTTTTTCCTCCCTAAAGATCTGAGCTGACAATGGTTGCCCCCCCCAAGCCGAGGACAGTGTGGTGCCCATCTGCAAAAGGACTTTCCCTAATTTGGGGCAACCCCCATGTACCCTCTGGAAGGGCCGCCCCTCTCCTGGTCGCGGGCTGTCAGCCCCACAGCTTGTGTTTGTTTGGGCCCTATGAGTTTGTGTGCAATGTGTGGCCATTACCAGGCCAGGCGAAATGGGGTTTGTTTATGCTGTCCAAGGGGAGCCCTGTAGTTGCCAAAAATAATTGTTTGCTCCAGCTTATCGGCTGGTGGGAGGGGTAGGAGGGAGACGTGGCCCTTTGTCGCCTGCCTAGGATGAGAGGCTGTGAAGTCCTCCTGCTCTGGCTCCGGTAGCCCTTCCTGGCTTCAGGTGGCCTTGTTTTTTCACAGATTTCTCCGGGCACTGCTGCCCCAGGCACCCTGGCACTGGCCCTGCAGGGACTGTAACAAGAAGCCCCTCCTCTTCTAGCTGGTGCCTCCTTATCACCGCCAGACCTCCTGCTCTTCCTCCCTGTCCTAACTTCTGAAACTTCACCCAACCCCCACCCCCATTTCCAAGAATGGACCTTATCTCTTGGACTGGGCTGCAGGACTGGTGGGGACACCCTGTGAGGTGGATGGTGACCTTGGACGACAGTCCTGGTCCCTGGTACCCACTGGGCTCCAGTCCCTTTACCCAGCTCGCCTAGCCCGTGAGCTGTGACAGGACCCATGATATCCTGCCAGCCTGAAGCCTGAAGCCTGGTGACGGGCGCCAAAGCTAATGCTCTTGGGAGTCAGCATGGCTGGGTCTAAAATGGGACCAGTGGGGACAGTGGATGGCTTCCATGGGGCCTTGAGAAAGTCTGGCACCTAGCACAGGGGCACTGTTAGGAGTTGGGACCAGGTATCCTCCCCCAACCCCCAGGCCTATCCCAGCTTGAGTTTGGTTTCTGGTCACTTTTTTCTCTAAACCAAAAGTGTGTGAGGGTGAGTGATCCACGGCTTCCAGTTTGCGATCTCTGCGGGTGACGTTTGTTGGGCCTTTGCCCACATTCAGGGCCGAGTGGTCACTGAGAGCAGGGGGCTCTGTATATAGGCTGTGTAGGGGAGAGCTGTGTCCTGAATGCCCCATGAAGCATGGCTCTCCTGCTCCTAGTTGTGCCCCTCTGTCCCCTAACCTTGGCTGCAGGGTCTCAGTCCTAGCCTCCCCCCTTACTGTCTCTCTTCCTACCCAGAAGGAATTGGCCTTGGCCCCCTGTTACGGGGCCTACCCAGCACCCCAGGTCCTTTGTACCGTTTTGTAGTCATCACCATTGGTAGACAGTGGGGCTCCTAAAGTCCCACTCAGCTAGAAGTGCCCCAGCCTGCTGTAACTGACGCCTGTTTCTAAAGGGGCTCCCTGCCTGGTCCTGACTGCCTTGGGTTCCTGGTGCCAGGAGGAAGCCATCCATTCCGGGGTCTTCAGGTGCAAACCTGCTCACTCTGGGAACTCTCCAGGGTGGTGAGGAGGTGTGGATGGGCAAGGGTGGAGGCCCAGCCTGTGGCCAACCATGGAATGACACATGGATGATCAGGACCCCTGTTGTAGAGGCTGGGTCTGAGGTCTTTTTTAATTTTTATGTGTCATGGGGAATCGTGCATGTATGTAGCCTGTCTGAGTTCTGAGTAATGCAGGCCCATTACTATGCCATGTAGACAGTAGCAGGGCACCCCAGCTGGTGTCTCACCTCCTAGCTTTGAGGGTGGTCAGTGGGGTTCCAAGAGCTTGTGTCAGCAACTCAAGGAAAGCAGGGCCATAGAGACAAGCCAAAGATGTGTGGGGACCCCAGGTCACACTGTCGGAACAGGAAGGGAAACTGAGGCCAGAAGAGTAGAATGGTTGGTGGAACCGGGACTGGACTTTGTGCTGGAGTCCCGTGAGGTTCCACTGTGGCTCAAGACCCATCTGCCTCCATGGGAGCAATAAGCCCTCACTGCTGCGGGCCCCAGCCCAGACTGAGGACAGGGTGAGGGGCTGATGTTTGGGGAAACCGCGGTGTGGAGGCTGCCCTGACACCTTTCCACCTACCAATCAGTGGCTGGCTGTGCAACTGTGAGGTGGAAGCCCCAACCTCCTTCCTGCAGCCCCACCTCTGTGGTAGGTGACACTTCCTGCAGGAACCATACTGCAACAAGGGGCTAGAGAGAACCTGGGTGGGGCTGCCACGTGCACGTGTGGGCTTTCGCAAGAAGGGGTGTCCCCTCTGTGGCCTGGGCCTGGTCCCCAGCTCCTTGGCCAGCCTCACTGCCAGCTGGCGGCAGGGCGAAAGGCCCCTTTGTCTGTGCTGAGCTTAATAAACTCGCTCAGGCTGTCTCTCTCATAGTGGAGAGTCCAGAAGTGTCCCAGCAAGCCTCTGGAGTCCTGTACTCCAGACCATGCAGAAAGCTGCTTTCTTAGAGTGTGATGATGTGGACATTGGCCAAGGTGGTGGGTGAGGGGACCGGCTGAGCTGCTGGTACCCTTCCTTCCCTTCCCAGGAAGCCACATGGAGCCCAGTCCTAGGCCTGACACTACAGAAAGTCACACATTCTCCTTACAAGGCAGGAGAGTTCCAAAGACATCAAAAAGTTAGAAAAGAGCTGCTGAGGCACCTTATCAATTAGCAGGATTCAAGGGAGAGAACCCCACCCCACATTGGGGATTGAGCTACTGTGTATGCTCAGCCCTTTTTATTTGTCTTTTGAGACAGGGTCTCATTAATGCTCCAAGTTACCTGGGCTGGCCTTGAACTTGCTGTGACCCTTCTGCCTCAGCCTTTCGAGTGGCTGAGGCGACAAATGTGTGCCACCTTCCGGAAGGGTTTGCCTTTCTGCCTGTGGGCCTCAGTGGTCTGCAGGGACGACAGCTTTCCTTTGTCTTTGCTCCTAACCTCCATGTTTGTCTGCCCTGTGAGGGCTGTCTGAGGCTTCTCTGCTTCTGCAGGTTACGTTTTGCCCATGGTGGTAAGGTGTGAACCAGCCTCGCACAGGAATGGGGCCTCAGGCCTTGGGGCCATGCAAAATGAGCTGCCCTGGGACAGCATATGGATAACCTGGCCAGAGGTCACTTGTAGCTCAGTGTCTCTGTCCTTCTCTCTCTGGGGTGAGGGAGTATGTGCTGTGACCAAGTCCTTTCTGCTGGATGTGTGCCAGGCTGCTTGGGGAGGGGATGTGAGGCACTGTGCTCAGCTGTCCCCTGAGAGCCTTGTGTGGTGAGTGACAGCAGGAACACCTTGCCCTGTACCAGGCCCTCCTCCATCTGTCAACACTACTAGGCCCTAGGCAGTACTGGCGTCTCCCGAGAGCCATATGGACCTGCATGTGAGGGACAGGAGGCCTGGTGTTGCCGTAGGGGTGACTGGCGGATACTTGGATCTAGGTGGTAAATAGTTAGGATTTTAGCAAGTTGGAAGTCAGAGCGCTGGACGTTGTCGGCTCTCATTTTCAGCAGACAGAATGTTCCGGGTGGACTTGATGAGATCCTGACATCTGCCAGGGGCCTGTGTTGAGAAGGATTCCACTGGGAGGCCCAGCCTGGATAGTGCTAGAGGTGGCATAGGCTGGCACACCTTCCCTGTCCCCATGGGCTCATGAGTGTACCAGGCCCTACCTATGTGATTGTCTCTGGGTGAGGCTGGGGCTGGACCCGTCTGCACTGGGAAGCAGGTGTGGGGGGCAGAGCTGGCACATGCTGGGCTTGGGTACCTTTGCAAGTGAGGCAGGCTAAGCCCTCAGGGCTTCAAAGGTTCCTTAGCCCCATGTGCCTGGAACTGAACTTTATCTTTTCTTTTTCTAACAACATTGTTGATATATAATTCTCATGTGGTGAAGTTCATCTTTGTTTTGTTTTGATTTTGAAACAGGTTGTTGCTATGTAGTCCTGGTAGGCCTTGAACCCACTGTGTAGCGTAGGCTGGCCTCAAATTCAAGGTGATCCTCTCGCCTCAGCCTCCGAAGTGCTGAGGCCACAGGCGTGCACCACCACGCCAGCTGAAGTTCATCTTTGAAATCACACAGTTCAGTGGCATTTAGTCCATTGACAGTTGTGCAACTGTCCCTTCTAATTCCAGAATGTTACATTACATCACCCTGAAAGAAACCCCATTCCATAAGCAGTCACCTGTCCCCTCCCTGGCCCCAGCACCCGGGAGTCCACTTCCTGTCTCTGAAGTCACCTATCCTGGACATTTCCTGTCCATGGAGTCCCATGCTGTGTGTCTTTCCTTTTGTGTCTGGTGTCTCTCACTGAGCCCAGGGTCCTCAGGGTCTACCCCACTGTGGAGAATGTCAAGCCTCACTCCTTTCCTGACCAAGTGACATTCCGGTGTGGGGATAAATGTTGCTATGCGTCCTTCCATCCCACTGCTGTGAGGGGGTTTGTAGTTGTCTGTGTGGGACTTGCTCTTAACCAGCTTCCGCTTCTAGCTCCTTTAGATATACCTGAGAGCCTTTTTTTATTCATTCATTTATTTGTGGCTTTGGGGATTGAAACCTGAGATATACCCCCAGCCATTTTACTTTATTTATTTATCTATTTACTTACTTATTTTGGTACCATGGATCAAACTCAGGACCTTGTACTTGCAAGGCAGGTGTGGTGCCACTGAGCTAAATGCCTGGCCCAGACAAAATAT